ACACACACACACACACAAACATCCTTCCTGTTTACTCCTCGTCCTTTTCCTCAGCTGCACCTGAACGAGTGGGAGGAAGTTAAAAAAAAAAGAGAAGGGGTGGAAGAATGGGGGAAGCTCTCCTTTTTTGTAACACCTCGGCTTCCTCTGCCTCCTCCTCTTCCACTCCTGACCGGGCCTGACCAAGGCACCCAGCTGGGTTGCGGTGGGCCAGGGCTGGGGCAGCGGGGCTGTTCACTTGCCATTTCTGTGACAGCCCCGGGGGGCCAAATCTGGGCCCTCCCTGGGCCGCATCCAGCCCACGGACCTTATGTTTGACATGTCTGGCCTAGAGATAAAGGGATAAAGTGAATTACATCTGTTTCAGTGGCTTAAGCCAAGGAAGCCGATTTCACATGTTGTTAAGCAGACGAATGTGGGGTTGTCTGAAATGGACAGGAGAGGCCATGTGAGTCCCAGCACAGGCTATTTTTGACTTCAGGGACACATTGACTTTGGGGCACATGGCTTGGAAACATGTATGGAACATGCAGCTTGGAGAATGGCGCAAGGCTGCAAAGGCCTCCAGTCTGGGGATTAATGCCTCATTTCTCAGTGGTCGTGGTGACACTGGGCTAAAGTCCAGGCCTGGGGTCAGTGGCCACTGGTTGAAAGGGCTGAAGGCCCCAGGCCTCCTGTCAATCAGGGATGCTTTTCATGGCCTGGATGGGACGGCTCAAGCTTCCATGGGCCTGTGCCTGGTCTCTAGGACCAGCCCACCCCCAGACACCCCCACATCCCTTCCCTGGGCCTTCTTCCACTTAAGAACCCTCAAGATGATTTAATGACTGTAAGCAGGAGTGTGGGATTGCGCTTGGTGAGTGAAGTGGCCGTGTGACCCTCACATAACTCCTACTTCCCTGGATTCACTGAGATTCCTGTCCAGATTTTGGTCATAAGTTGAGGACTACCTAAAGTTTCAGGGCTTCTTTTTCTCCTCGTCATAGGACGAGAACCAAGGAGGAATAAATAGAGTCAGTGAACAGCAGGAGAGTTTGCCTCCGAGGGATCTGGGGTGACGGAATCAATGGAGGTTTTGTCTCAGGTGTACTGTGGACCTCTGCCCTGGTCAGAGGGTGGACTGGAAGACCTTCACGGTCCCTTCCAAGGCTAAGATATTGTGATTCTCTACCATTCTCAAAAGGAAACATTATTCTCCTCTTCTTTCTTTTTCCACCAGCAGGAAAACAACTCTGACCAAAGATTCACCTGCAAGTCACCTTTCAAGAGATAGTAGAAATTCAGCCCAAGGCAGCCAGTGCCAGAAAGCATGGAGCCTGGGAAACTCTTGGATCCCCTGTGAGACAGAAGCAGCCACAAAAGAAAACCACAAAAGAACCCGTGAATGCTCAGAGTGTGGAAAATCCTTTGCTTGCCGGTCCCTCCTTTTGACCCACAGGAAGGTCCATGTGGGAAGCGGATCCAGTGAAGGTTTGGAGGGTGAGAAATCCTTCTCTGGAAAAGACATGAAAAATTTCAGAAGCCCCCCCAGACTAAAGCCCTATAAATGTGAGGAATGTGACCTATGCTTTGGTCAAAGGTCACACCTTGTTAGACATCAGAAAATCCACACTGGAGAGAAACCCTATCAGTGTCTGGAATGTGGGAATTTTTTTCGTAGAATAGATAGTCTCAGAAACCATGAGAGGATTCACACAGGGGAGAAGCCTTACACGTGTTGGGAATGTGGGAGGAGCTTTTCTCGGAACGCAGGTCTTTGGTGCCATGGGAAGATTCATGCAGGAATAAAATCTTACAAATGCTTTGAGTGTGGAAAATGTTTCACCCTGAGTTCATCTCTTCGGAGTCATGAGAAAACACACAGAGGGGAGAAAAACGAAAAGTGCCTCGAATGTGGGAAATGTTTTATCTCGAAATCACACCTAGTGCAACATCAAAGACGTCACACCAGAGAGAGACCCTATGAATGCCCAGAATGTGAGAGACGATTTATGTTTCCTTCTCTACTTCAGAGGCACCAGAAGGGGCACAAAGGGGAGAAACCCTATGAATGTGGGGGATGTGAGAAAGGTTTTCTTACACAAAGAGAGCTTCAGGTTCACGAGAGAATCCACACAGGGGAAAAACCATACAAATGTAAGGAGTGTGGAAAGAGCTTTACCCTAAAACACCATCTTGGAAGTCATCAGAGGCTTCACACAGGAGAGAAGCCATACAGATGCGTAGAATGTGGGAAATGTTTTGCTCAAAAGGGAACCCTTGGGAGACATCATAAAACTCACACAGGGGAGAAATTATACAGATGCCTAGAATGTGGAAAATGTTTTGCTGAACAGGGAAACCTTTGGACACATCATAAAACCCACACAGGGGAGAAGCCATATCAATGCTTCGAATGTGGAAAATGTTTTGCTCAACAGGGAACCCTTTGGACACATCATAAAATCCACACAGGGGAGAAATTATACAGATGCCTAGAATGTGGAAAATGTTTTGCTCAACAGATAAACCTTTGGAGACATCATAAAACCCACACAGGGGAGAAACCACATCAATGTATCGAATGTGGACAATTTTATTCTACCACATCAGATCTTAGAAGTCATGTAAAAACTCACACAGGGGAAAGAAATTACAAATGTTTAGACTGTGGGAGAGCATTTGCTCATTCATGTTCCCTTAGAAACCACAGCCGAATCCATACAGGAGAGAAGCCCCATAAATGCTCGGAGTGCGATAAATGTTTTTCTCGGAAAGATA